ATTTGATAAACATTGAATAAATTATAAAACATGCGGATATTTGTGACATTTGACACAATCCGTACCATATTGAGAGCTAAATTTTCTCTGTTATGGCATTGAAGTAAGGATTGGCAGAAGGCATCTATCCATTTTACTGTAATTTTTTTCAGCTCAAAGGCTGAGAGCAAGCAAGGTTAGGTGTGACATTGACCTTGGTAATACTGACAACGAAATATACCATAGAGGATGGTTGCAAATTTTTATTTCTATCACAATATTTTCACTCCCTAGACTTGAAGGATTCTTCTACACCATTCAGAAATGCAAACACAACCGACACTGAATGACAAATTTACAGTAGAAGTCCGAAGAAAGAAAACTAGAAATAATAGATCATGTTTCATGTTTACATCAGAAACTCAAGCTTACATCACATAAAATATCTTGAAGAGGAATCCGAGTTAATTCGTCATATGTTTGATACTTAGATTTTTATAGCAATAGAATGTTGAAAGGAAAGAAAAATAAAGATACAGAGACAGTAGTCTACTACATTAGAATTATTAGCAAAAATCAAACGGAAAGGAATCGATTAAGTTTCATAGTTGCATCAGAAACTCGAGCTTACATCACCCAAACTGTCTTGAATGGGAATCCGAGTAACTCATCATATGCATTATATATAGAATTATAGATTTACCATCACCATGTGTAGCAATAGAAAGTTAACAGAATATGATAGCACTACAAAGACTAGAAAGAATCAAAGTTTAGTACTAGCATCAGAAACTCGAGTTTACATCACCCAAACTGTCTTGAAGGGGAATCCGAGTCATTCGTCATATGCTTTACAACACCATGTAGAACAGTAAGTTAACACATACAAAATCGAAGAAATAAAAGCACTATGAAAGTATGAAAGCCACTAGCTCCATCCAAAAACATGTACAAACAGCATCCTAAAATACAAATTGCTATTGATTCACAAGGTAAAAGCTAATATTTCATCTCTAACTAAACCAGGTATTAAGATGAGATCTAGGCTCTACACAATATTTTAGTAACCTTTACAAAAACACTCTTGAAAACACACAAACAAGCACATTTAGATAGAAGTAAATACGATTCACATGCAACAAAAACAATTAAAGTGACAGTTGCATCAGAAACTCGAGCTTACATCACCCAATTTGTCTTGAAGGGGAATCCGAGTAGTTCATCATCTGCTTGATAGCCATAACAAAAACCAATGATACAAAGAGAAAAAACGTTGAAAACTATCTTAAAGATCTCCCAAATACACACCATATATGCAGTCAGTGAAGCATTATCAATATCTTAAAATAGAATGAATTATTTAAAAAAAAAGGTCAAAAGTCAGAAACCAAACATGCCCTTGAAAGCAAACATAGATCTAAAAAGAATGAGAAACAAGGAGCACAAAGGGACAATATGAGTATTTCCATGCATATCAAGAATCAACTAAGAAACTGACAAGTGATAGAAGAGACCAAGGAAAAAAAAGGATGAGTAGCAAAACATATGTATTTCAGCTAAAAGAAGAATCGCATTACATAAACCACCCAAAATATTCGTATTGTTACAAATATAATTTTCATATCAGAGAAATAGAAAATTCCCAAATACAAAAGAGGTTAAAGAAGAAAACCAGTGAAAAACAAAAAAACACACAATTGATGATGGAAGGAACAGATAACTACAGGATAACTATCATGTACCCTCCCACCAATGAAAAAGAGATTGATTACATCCACAAGGAAAATCAATGTTGTTGGGAAAATTGTCGGGCAAACGTAATCAGGAAATAAAGGTTGAAGATAAAAAGGAAGCAATAGTACGTTATGAAGCCAAAACTAACAATCAACATAATCCATTGAATTTCAAATATACCATTAAGAGTATTTTTTTTTTCTTTCAAAACAGTTACAATTACAAAAACAAAGAATACATTTATAATACAATAAAGGCAAACCTGGTCGGGCTGAGCAACATCAGAAAATATAACATCTACCATGCCAACCAACATCCGATACTTGGCAGGATGTCTAGCATCTTCAATGATAGGTATGACATTTGTTCGCTTCTTCGCCATGTTGACCAAGTCCCTACCACTCCTATGAGAAAATTCAACAGCATAGACAACTCCTTCCTACACAACAGAAAGGGAATATAAATGCATGAATGCCACACAAACAAAGGGAAACAAGAATCATAATAGAGCAGAAAGGAAGAATCCATTTTCATCAAATATTCAACTTACAGGTCCAACGACATCAGATACATGAGAGACTGTAGTTCCTGATGCAGCTCCAAGGTACAGAACCTTGGCTCCAGGTACCTTGGAATAAATAAAAAATATGTTAAAAGGGAACTCAGGAAAATATATCAGAGAACCTTTTAGAAGTTGTGAAGCAAAATATCAATTCACCGGATAAGCATGAATGTCACTTACAATCCAGATATCATCGACACCACCAATAATTGCAGCAGCAAGCTTTGAACGGAAAGGGTTCCAAACTCTGTACTCAACCTTTGTTCCATCTCCATTCTAGACAAAAACCAGAAAATTATATATTCCGAGTTATCCAATATAGAGATTTTAGTTTTTTTTTACTAGTAGTTGTCATAATGCTACAAGTTTAATCAGTCATAACTCATAACGCACAGTACAATGCCAACTACCAAAAATTTCAGGCATAAAAGACAAATAATGATTTGTGAGTGATCGGCCCTTTATAATATCCAGCACAAAGTTTTTAGTGAACAGTGAACATTCACAACATTACGCTGCACAATATGTAACATTAAGGTACTAAACAACTTTTGTTTGAAGATTCAAATTTCTTACATGTTATCCTTTCAAAAATATGATTAAAAACTTCCAGCGATTTACATATAGTCCATTACTTCTATATTGTGCAATATATTCACAAAATATTTTAAAAATAAATGTTTGGTAATAACTGAAAACCTAATGAGCTTCCAAAGTTTACAGATCCCAATAAAGTCTTCAAAGATCACAATTCACATTCTCTTTGTAAAATAATTCATCAATAGCATTGCTATCCTAGATTGAATTAGAAAGATTACAATTTTTTGATCGCAAATAAAAACCCCAATGAACATTGTGACATCGACCATATCCAGTAAAATACAACCAAACAAATAGGTATCAAAGGCAATAGAAGAACTGAAGATGAAGGCATTAAAAATTACCTGAACAGCAACTCTTTTCTCACCATAAACAGCTTCACCAGGAACCAAATTTCTAGTAACCAAAGCATCTTCTCTACCCCTAGCAAGGAAAACACCTTCATGTCTATGGGGTTGAACAACAACTTTACTTCCACCTTTCATTCCACCATCACGAGCTCCTCCTCCTATTCTTCCTCTTCCACCACGAGCACCTCTGCCACCACCACCACCTCTTCCTCCACCACGAGCACCACCTCCTCTCCCTCCACCACCACCTCTACCTCTGAAACCACCGCCACCACATCCACGTCCTACAAATGAATCAAAAAAAAAAAATGAAAACACGACAAAACGGGAAAATCCAGCAATACCCAATGTAGTTTGATGAAGAATTAGTTTGGTTTTACCTCTTGGGGGTCTCATTGCTACCCTCTTTCTTTCTTTCTTCTTGTTGAAGAGAGTTTTGAATTTTGATGATGAAGAAGTTGCTCTGCTGTTTGTTCTTCTTCTTCTTCTAAAAAGGCGAGAGTTATTTATTGGTCATTGCTCAAGGATTAGTGGGGGACTGGGGGGTTTATAATAGGGTTTTAGGCTATCAAGTGGGTAATGTTGTGTGGGTTTCGACCCGAACTCAGTTATTAAGGTACAGATGAGGCCCATGTACTCATCTATCTAAAATCTATCTACAGTGCTGTAAACAGAATGGTCCGATCCACAGTTCGTACCCCTCGTATCGTCGCATTCTCGAAAATTCCCTCTCTGTCCCAGTTTTTTTTTTTAAACCCGGTCCGGGCAGTTGAGGCACTTGTTTTTTCATAATTCACATATTGTTCTCTCCGCATGGGATTCTACGTTTTGTTGAGCATTTTAATATTCTGGCCGTGTGTGTAAAATAGTAATATAGTATAGATTCTTGAAGCTTCTGGATGAATCAGTGTTTTTATCTGGTGAAGTCCATAACTCCATATATAACTACCCAATAAACAAACAAACAAAAATGGTAAAAAAAAAGAAGCTGATAGAGTCAAATCTACACGTAAAGTCCAGAATTGTTCCACTTTTTGGCTATTCATACATGAATTGCACCCTATAAAATACCCACACCACACACCAATAATTCATTCATTTCAATTTCACACAAACAATATTACAATGTCAGCTTATCATGAAGTTGAAATCAAAATTTGTTCAGCCAACGATCTCAAAAATGTTAATTGGCGACATGGTGATATCAAGCCATATGCTGTTGTTTGGGTAGATCCTAAGTCCAAATTCTCAACCAAGGTTGACGACAACGGCGATATATGTCCAATCTGGGATGAGACACTTGTTTTACCCTTAACATATCCGATCCAAGATTCAACTCTATCAATCGACATCGTCCATGCTTACGCTGCTAAAGATACTAAACCGTTGATTGGATCTGTGCAAATCCCGATACAAGAAATTGTCGATGATGTTGGTATCGGTAATTGGGCTCACCGGACTTTGAAGCTCAAACGTCCATCAGGCCGTCCACATGGTAGATTGGAGGTCAAGATTTTGGTTAGGGAACCTCGCTATCGTGGGCCAGATCCATATTATGCTCCACCACCATCATATGGAGTTCCACCACCAACTTCTAGAAACTACCAGGAAGACTACCGCTACCCAAATCAAAATCCATACCCGTATGCTTCAGCGCCACCTTCCGGGTATCCGTATAATCCACCTGGGTACCCCCAGCAGCAGACATATGGTGCACCTGGATACCCCCAGCAGCAGACATATGGTGCACCTGGGTATAGTGGTGACGTAGTGCAGCAAAAGAAGGGTAGTAAGTTTGGTGTAGGAACTGGGTTAGCAGTGGGTGCAGTAGCAGGGGTGTTGGGTGGACTGGCATTAGCTGAGGGAATTGATTATGTGGAGGACAAGATAGCTGATGACGTGGAAAAAAAGATTGCAGATGATTTAGTGTATGATGATGACGATGGGTATGGAGAAGATTTCTGATTTTAACAGCATTTAGACTGTTGGAAAAAAGCATATTAGATTATGTTTTTAAGGATTCAGTTCTGTATGTATTGAAAATTCTAATGAAGAACTAAAGAAATGAGCAGACAGTTTGAATATATATTGAAATATTGAATGATGATGATAATACTCATAGAACATACCAAGAGAAAAGTACCAACAAAAGACCAAACATCCTAAATTCCAATGTCCAAAAATGAATATGATAAGATCTGTGAAACATATTCATGCACTTACATTATTTAAATTTTAAAGCATCCTAAAATATCTTTTAGCGTACATTTCAGATTTATTGAAGTGTGACTGAATCAAGCAGCTAAGCTTTTCGAGGCAATTTCAAACACATTCTCGGAAAGACCATTAGCAGCCATTATCATCTCTAGTTGTTCCTGTGAAACACATCATGTACTGTTAGTGGACCAAATTGGAAACAAGAAAACAAAAAGAA